TTCTCTGCATAATAGGCGTGAGATATTAAAGTGTGTTATATTTACAATTAAAATTAAAATATTAAAATTTAAAATATTCACAATTACTAGCCAATATTAATAATATTAACAATATTAATTATTTTAGCATTAAGGTATGGTTAAACGATTTTTATATGATTTACGCTGTGTTTAATTTATATTAATACAAAGCTTATTATAATTAATCAACGTTTTTCATAAAACCGATTAAATTATTATCTGTGCATTTAATTTTGATATCAAAATGCAGTCTAATGGAAAAGGCACGCCTCACTGCACTGCATAATTTAATGCGAACATTAACTATGTTAATTTAATGCTAACACTAACTATTTCTAGAGCCATGCATTCCTCCAAAATCCACTGCACGGTGTTGATGGGAGACTTCAACGCAAAACTAGGCAAAAGAGAAGGCGGTGAGCTGAAGTTAGGGAAATTTGGAGTAGGGCAACGGAACCATAGGGGCCAGCAGCTGGCTGACTTTATGGAGAAAGAGGGACTCTTAATGATGAACTCTTTCTTCCAGAAGCGGCCCCAGAGGAAGCGGACCTGGTCGAGCCCCGACGGTTCGACAAAAAATGAGATTGACTTCATTATGACGACTAGACGCCAACTGTTCAGTAATGTCTCAGAGATCGCAAGAGTGAAAACCGGCAGCGATCACCAAGTGGTTAGAGGCACACTGAACCTAAACGTTAAGTTGGAGAGGTCTCGTCTAATGATGTCAACGCTCCGTCCCCTCTTGCTCTAATCCAGAATCCCGAAACATTTCAACTCGAGTTACGTAACCGCTTTCAGTGCCTAGAAGATTGCAATGCAGTGGACGATATGAATGACAAGCTCGTGGAAACTGTCCATGCGGTCGGAGCTAAGTTCTGCAAGACCCGCCGCAAAAGAACATAAAAACTCTCCGATCACACTCTTAATCTCATGGCTGTTAGACGGGAGATGAGGCTGCAATCGTCAACAGATTTGACAGCATACAGGCAACTGAACAGACAGATCTACAAATGCATGCGGCAAGACTTACGCAACTTTAATACCGCTCGTATTAAAGAAGCGATCGAGCGAAACCAGGGCTCCAAAGTCTTTGCCAGAGAACTGTCTGCCCGTAAGAGCCAACTGTCAAAGCTGAAGACTGAGTGTGGCAGCATCGTTTCCGGGACACCTGAGATTTAGAGTGAGATTGAGAGGTTCTATGGGCAGCTGTACACATCATCGTCGGAGTCACACGCGTGTGACTCCAACGATGATGTGTACAGCTGATGATGTGCACGCAAGTGTGAGTAACTATACAAGAGCAAGTCTTACCCGACACTATTCTGACGATATCCCGGATGTCAGTCTGAGCGAGATTAGAATGGCTCTCCAGCACCTTAAAACGGCAGGGCCCCAGGCGAGGATGAAATTACAGCAAAGCTTCTAAAAGCGGGTGGAACACCGGTACTTGAAGTCCTTCAGAAGCTCTTCAATTCCGTCCTCCATGGTGGCACTACTCTGGAGGCGTGGAGCAGAAGTGCGGTGGTCTTGTTCTTTAAGAAAGGCGACAACGCTCTCTTGAAGAACTACAGACCGATTTCCCTTCTGAGCCGCGTCTACGTGCTGTTTTCGAGAGTCATTACGAATCGTCTCGCACGCAAACTCGACGACTTCCAGCCTCCCGAACAAGCCGGTTTCCGAAAAGGCTTCAGTACCATAGACCACATACATACCCTGCGGCAGATTGTACAGAAGACCGAAGAGTACATTCTGCTATTTTGCCTGGCGTATGTGGACTATGAGAAAGCCTTTGATTCCATCGAAATTTGGTTGGTGCTACAGTCCTTTCAGCGGTGCCAAGTTGACTGTCGGTATATCGAGGTGCTGAAGTGTTTGTACAATAGGGCTACGATGGCTATCCGAGTACAAAACCAGAGTTCGAAACCTATCCAACTGCAGAGAGGTGTAAGACAGGGTGACGTTATATTCACGAAACTCATCACCGCTGCGTTGGAAGACGTTTTCGAGCTACTGGACTGGAAAGGATACGGTATTGACATCAATGGCGAGTACATCACTCACCTTCGATTTGCCGATGATATAGTCCTTATGGCAGAATCGCTGGAGGACCTTAGCACTATACTCAATGACTTCAATGGTGTCTCCCAACGGATAGGTCTTTTTTTTTTTAAATAGGGAATCTCATCCTATGGTAGTAAAAAGGTAAGATGAACCTGGACAAAACAGAGATTACGTTCAATGTCCATGTCACACCTATGCCGGTAGTTGTGGGGAGCAATATGCTCGAAATTGTTGACGAGTACGTTTACCTGGGACAAATAGTCCGACTAGGTAAGTCCAACTTCGACCGAGAGGTCAATCGACGGATTCAACTCGGCTGGGCAGCGTTCGGGAAATTACGCCACATCTTCTCGTCAGGTATACCTCAATCTCTGAAAACTAAAGTGTACAACTAGTGCGTGTTGCCAGTGATGACTTACGGATCAGAGACGTGGTCCTTCACTGCTGGCCGTATGAGGACGCTCAAGGTCGTTCAGCGAGCTATGGAGAGTGCTATGCTCGGAGTTTCTCTGCGTGATAGACTCAAAAATGAGGATATCCGCAGTAAAACCGGAGTGACCGACATAGCCCAACGGATTAGTAAGCTGAAGTGGCAATGGGCCGGCCATATAGCTCGAAGAACCGATAACCGATGGGGAAGAAAAGTTCTCGAGTGGCAGCCTCATACCGGTAGGCGTAGTGTAGGGCGACCCCCCACTAGATGGCATGACGACCTGGTAAGACATGCAGGAAGTCGATGGATGCAGGTGGCTCAGGACCGTGCTTTGTGGCATTACTTGGGGGAGGCCTATGTTCAGCAGTGGACTTGTGAAGGGCTGTAATGATGATGATGATGATGATTAACTATGCAAATAAAGCACTAAAAGCGAGACATAATACAATTATACTTTCAAAAGTAAAACTCGACTTCAAAAAACCAATGAGCATAAAGTAATTGCTACATAAGTTAACATCTTTTGAAGTCTGTGTCTAGACAAAGTGTATTGAATTATATCAAGATTTAAACTCTTAGTTTACAAGGTATTAAGTTACAAGATTTAAAATTAATTTTGCATATCTAATAAAAAAAAATTGAATACCCAGAATAAACTCGTCATAGTTCTTGATTTTTTAATTCTGAAAAGTGCCATTTCTATTACGCACGGACTGAATCACTGATTCATCTATCAAAAGCCTAGGCTTATTTTTGGTTACTTAGAAACAAAAATTTGGCAATAAATTAGATCATTAGGCGTGTTCAATGAAAAAAATCTGAAAACTATCTTGTGACTAGACGTTTTCATTGCGAATTCGTGTTTGTTTTGGATGTTCTTTTTTATTGAGTTGAGTCTAGCCGTAGCTGTGTGCTCCTTCACAGTTCTCCGAATAGTTTTACGATCAATCAACTACGGCTGCTATTACTAATGAAAAATATGCTGATATCGACTTCATCATTGGCAATACGGATGTACCTGTTGCGATATCCGAATTAAAGATTATCAAATGTTAGAGTGTTTAACAGCATATTTTATCGGCTTTCTGAAGTTGGAAATCATCACCCGAACGACCGGGATTCAAGCCAGGAAGACAAGGCTCATGTGCGAGAACATTTAAATAATTGTTTCCAAGAGAACACGCCTCGGTCGCCTTATTTAGCTCCTGTGATTTTTTTCGTTTAGAGACGGGCCAAGGAGCTCGCCTACATGCATGGGAATCTGTGAACATGAGATGAAAATCAAAATGACGATCACAAAAGTAAGAAGACGGGACCGCTCTTGAATCAGAAACAACACTTAAACAGGAAAAATAAAATTATTTAAAACAAAAAAAGTAGTCTTATTGATCTGTTAAAAATTATTAATTTTAATTTTACCGAAATTTGCTTTGTACACACTAATTTCCAAAGTTGACAAGACATCTGCGTAAATAATTCCTCAAAAATAGGGCGTTAACTAAGGCCTTAACTTTTTAAAAAGTTTGAAAAACAAAGGCTATTTTATTTATTTTTTATGATCAATTAAACATAAAATTCACACAATACTTTTTTTACATTAAATCCCCGTAAAATAAAACGTAACTGATATGAAGAATTGAAACTCCTAGAAGTCTCCAGTCTGCGAACACATACATAATCGCACCAGTCACTTCATCCGACTTGATAGACCAAAAATCCTCGCAAAAGAACACCAATTTCTCCCAATCATGATTGACGAGGCTAATGTAATTAAAAAAAACATCCTAATTTCAAATGAGAAGATGATCCCCAGAGGTCTCATGAGGTCACACCCACCCACACCACTTTAACCCATAAAAACTTATATATAGAGACTACTTTTCTATGAAGAAGTTTGGCAGTTTTATAATCAATATGAAATACACCTACCCCTAGTGCAGTGTTTTTCAACCTGTGGGTCGCGCCTTAGGTAGGCCTTACTCGGAGTTCGCCGGTTTAAAGAAAAAGACAAGGTTTTAACACTAGAATAAAAACACAATTTTTGTGAGTAGGTTAGGCTTTTTATTTTTCAAAAGATTATGAAATCTTGTTGGCATTTTTGAAACGTTAATAGTCAAGTCATTTTCTAATTGCAGTCTATTTCTCTTTTTAGTTTTAATGTCTACTATTGCAGAAAATGTCAGTTCACACAAATATGAAGTGGCGAATGGCACTAATAATTTAAGAGCTTCCCTTGCCAGGTCTGGATATTCGTGTTTTCGTTTCATCCAAAATACGGCAACACTTTGCGAATAAAATTCCATTTTAAGCATGCCATCAGCAGCTTAATCTAGAAGACATTCTTTCATATTTAAGGTGACATCAGCTAGATCTACTGACTTATCTAAAAAAGAATTTACAATCCATCTACACCCATTGTCAGCTTCAGAGTGCAAGTCTGGAAAGTATGTCAAAAGTTTATCTTGTAAATTATGCAAGCTCTGTATCATGCAAGGAACGTGAGTTTTGCGTTAAATGCTTTGACTTTATCTTTAGCTGTTAAAGTATTTTCATCTCTATCTTGGAAATTCTTGTTCAAATTATTAAGGTGGCTAAAAAGATCTGCCAAAATGCCAATTTCAAGTGCCAAGTAGCGTCAGAAAAACTATTAGCATATTCAGATTGTGAATTGTGTAAGAACATTAACAATTCAGCTCTTAGTTCTAAAACTCTTGTCAAAACCTTTCCTTTGGATAGCCGCCTGACCTCTGCATGATAAAGGAAATTTTGATGAAGCGAGCTCATATCTTCGCAAAAAATTCTGAATTACCGGGTTTGCAAGGCTTTTCCTTTGATAGAGTTCACAATTTTTATTACCTCCTTGAGCACGTCATTTAAATCTAAAGGTACTTGCTAGAGCAGCTTGAGCCTTCCGATGAAGGAAACAGTGTGTCCAGGATATGTTTGGCATTATTAATTTTATTTCGCTTTGAGTCCGCTATTTTTGCCAGTCATAGCTTTAGCGCCATCGATACAAATAGCGATACATTTTTTCCAATCAATATTGTTATCACAAGTGCTTTCTAAAAACATATCGTACAAATACTAGCCAGTAGCATTTGCAGGAAGTGCTTTGCAAAATAAAATTCCTTCCATGATATAATGTCATCTGCTTCTCAGCTCAGCTGCTGTGAAGAATCGACGCTCCGGGAAGTCTGCAGTCTGTGAACACGTACAGGATCACCCCCGTCACTATATCGGATTTGATAGACCACAAATCCTCGCTAAAGAACACCGATTCCTTCGAAGGGTGATTCGCGAGGCTATTGAAATCAAAACCTCAACATCCTAATTTCAATAGAGACGATGGCTGGGTGCTACCATCTGCTTGGGATCCTATAATAAATTAAATTAAATCCCAACCCAAGCATACAACTGCAAGACTTCATGATACCATAAGTTCATACTGTGTAGATCGAAACAAAAGTTAAATTTTAATCTATGGTAACCGCGGCCAACTATGACATCTGGACGTTGAACATCTCAGTCCTTCCCGTGACCATTGGTACTGTAAAGCTCTCGAAACGTCGGGTATTTAAAAAGTTAAATATACGCGATAAATTCCGTAAAAACTAGTCTTATTTCAATGTTTGCCTCCTGTTTACTGGCCATAATTTTAACCATATCGAGAGCTGCTCGCAAAATAAGATTTCCCGCAATTTTATGTAGTTTCGCTGCTTTAGTAACTCGATATGCGACTTTGTAGCTAGCTAATAATGCTGACTCGTTGACACTGGATGCCTGAAAATAAGCAAAACAATATAAAAGTGAATATTTAATAAAATTTAAGCACGCGAAACCTTTGCACACCAAAATTATGTAAAATAAAAAGTTGTATGCAAACAACAAAAAATAAACGTCATTAAACATCAACAGTAAAAACAGCAACAATTAGAATAGACTCGACCTGAGCTTATCGCTAAGCGAATTGAGGGTTTTAACAACACAAGACTAGGAAAACAGTATTTTATTACCTGAATCATAGTATGTTGCTGCTGGCTAAGAGATTTCAACTTTCGTTGAAAGAAATCCAACAGCTTATCAGCTTCTTTTTGATGCTTGGTTGTGAGATACCACATAAGCTTTGACGGTTTCATACTCTCACGTGATAAAACATCGCCGTAAATTACACATTGAGGTTTATTATTTATGACTGTGAACCCGTATTTCAAATAACTGTTCATCGTAATGTCTATTTTTTTCGGGTTTGATTCACCACCACTGCTATTGACACAAGATGTTGAAGGCTGCGATCTTTTGAGAAACTTATCCATTTTACAAAGACGCGAAGCAAGCGAAAAAAAAGATTGACGTCCGTACTACGCGGTGACTGCGCTCAACTGACCTTACTAATTTGATTTGTGCAACTGACTGAGAATATAAACAAAAAAACATTGCGGGCGGCGGCGGAGGGCACGCGCGGGGGCCGCTGCCTGTCGCCGCAACGACAATGCGGTGTGGCAACATTGCGTCGCTGTCGCCGTTTGCACTTACTTCGAGTCCTATTTCTTTGTCTTTCTATGACACAAGGGGGTCGCCAGAATTTTTCAACTTGTAAAGGGGTCGTAACATCAAAAAAGTTGAAAAACACTGCTCTAGTGCAATAAAAAAATGTTATCCTATTAATACTTATTTATAATCTACGTTCATTTCTTACGCCATTTTCGCGTGAATGTTATTGTGTTGATTGTCGGATTTTATAGTGTTTTATTAGTGTTTTAGTATAGTGTTTGATAATAAAATTGTAATGAAAGTTTTTGCGTAAATATAATTTATCTTTTTACGTAAATAATTTCGAGTCAGCTTGAAAATCAGATTCAGCGTGAAAATCACAATTATTGCAATATATATTATATTGCAATAATTGTGATTTTCACGCTGCCGACATTCGCTTGGTGTGTTTGTTTTTGTTATCAAAATACATAAAATCTTTTTGTAATTAAGTAAAACCTGACTTTTTTTATACCACAGGATAGAAAATTTTGTATATATTTTATAATGCTAAATTTCTTCATAGAAAAGTAGTCTCTAAATATAAGTTTTAATAGTTTTAAGTGCTGTGGGTGGGTGCGGTCGCATGCGACCGCTCGGGATTTGCCGGACGCATGCGCCTGCATGGGATTTTAATGGCACTTGAAGGGTTAATAAAATAATATCCCAACCTAAGTATACAACTTCAAGATATAATATATTATTTTAATCTGGAGGTTTTAGCCGTGGTTAACTATGACATTGGAACGTCGAACACCTGTCTCCCCTGTGACCATGAGTGCTGTAAATTACTCAAAACTGAAGGTACCCGAGCTTACTTTGACGTTGGGACCTACCTTTTTTGAAATTGGGAATTACCTGTAACCATGGGTGCTGTAAAGCACCTAAAACGTCGAGAAACAAAAATAAATTACTGAACGCGGTAAAATTCATATAAATAGTTTTATACAATGTGTAGTGTTAGCGTAAATTTAAGAAATCGTAACACAATAACTGTTACTGGATACCATTAGCAACTAATTGAAAAAAAATGGGTTTTATTGTTAAAAACCTTAGAAAATCATTCAAAAAAGGAGCAGACTTCGTCTAAGACAAGTTTACCTTAATACGTTGTAAATTGTTTAAGGTGTCGTACTCTTCATGCTTTGCATCCCATCATCTGAACAGCTCAAATTCTCATCGAACATACACAAAAGCATACGTAACCTTGCTAAGGCATAGTGTAACGAAGAATGAAAACACATACATTTGAAGTGATTACTAAGGAATATTATTTTTTACGGATGGACTTAACAATATCACAAGCTTAAAGTTACAACAAGTATGTGGTTTTAAAAGTTACACTAAAACTTCATGCCCAATTTTCCTTCCACTAAAAGTGGATTTTCTTTTGAAATCAGGATCGTCCTTCTGGTATACTTAAATATAACAATATAAGAATAATTTAAATGTGTTCAAAATTTCCCGAGAAGTTGGTAAATATATATAAAACACGCGTCAAATTTAAAACCTCTATTTTTAAGTCGTTTTAATTTATTCTCGGTTAACGTTTTATTCTCCTAGTATAACGTTTACCATAATAATGTGAAAGCAAATGACGTAAGCATTTTTATTTTATTACATTGATAATGGGCATAATTTGGATAATGGACGCACTTTTCGCATTTATTACCCGAGTTTATTGACTGGAGCATCTAATAATGCTGAGTGTCACTATACGTTAAAGTTATTACTACAATGAAACTTGATACAGGCATGCGTTAGGTAAGCAATGGATAAATTTATATGAGTACAGCGACATCTACCGGTTCTAACTGTGTATCTAAACCATCCAGAGGCTCGCAAAAACACAAGAAAATCATCAAAATCGGTCCAGCCGTTTATTAGAAGAACACCAACTACTACTTCAAACACACATAGAATAATTATATATTTATATAGGATAATATGTAAAACAATGTTTTAATGACGAACAGTACAAAATTAAGAATATCAGTCGACAACGAGATACTTACCTATACAGAAAACTACATCTATCTAGGTAAACAAATATCTTTTAACAGGAAAAACAATGAGCTCGAATTAGAACGAAGAATACATAGATCCTGGAATAAATACTGGAGCTTAAAGGAAATATTTAAGGGTGATATGCCAGTAAAGATAAAAACTAAAGTCATGAACACATGTCTCCTACCATGCTTAACCTATGCCTGTCAGACCTGGAGATATTCTAGTAAAGTAAAGAACAAAATAATCAGCTGCCAACGCGGTATGGAACGTAGTATGTTGAATATCCACAAAAGACAAAAAATAAGGCACACTAAAATAAGAAATATTTCAAAAGCTACAGATGCTATATGACTAAAATGGAAGTGGGCGGGACATGTAGCGCGATTACAAGATGAGAGATGGACCAAAAAAAATTACTTCATGGAACGGCCCAACAGGGAAACGCTACAGAGGAAGACCCCATGCGAGATGGCAAGACGACATCACAAAGATAGCGGGCACAAATTGGTTACAAATAGCCAAAGACAGAGACCATTGGGATTCTTTGGAAGAGGCCTTCACCCGAGGAGTGGTTCTTGCAAACCAAATTAGCTTGAAAAAATAATTACTACAATCATAGATAAATAAATACACATAAATAGATATAATCGTAGGTTACATATAAAAAAAAATTAAAAAAAAATATTAGGTTTAGTAATAACATTGTTAAATACTCTTTCATTTGTTTGTAAGAAATAAAAAGGCTTTTTATTTTATTTTATTTATTATTTATTATAGGATAATATAATGATTATCACAAAATCACGGCATTATAGCAAAATACCAATATAAAAAACTAGAACAATATTGACTTTAAGTGGATGATTGTAAACACATAATCTATTCTTAATTAATATAAAATGCAAATGAGTTGTTGTCTGAGGACTAATATGAGAAGCCTTGAAGTAAAGGGGGGTCTCCATTTCTTGTCAATCAACATATAAAGCACAGCAGTGTCAAGCTTCTACTTCAGGCTGGTATTTGCTGCGAGCATTATCCTTCCTCGGGCGGTCCGATTTTTTTACAGGAAAAGGGTGACAAGCGAGCACACAGTCCACCTGATGTTAAGTGGTTGCTGTGGCCCATAGACATCTACACCTATCCCCGTTTGCGATTCAAAATGAAGATGCGTTGTCAGCCTTGAGGACTAAGATGGAATGCCTCTTTTCCAGTAAAAACAGTCTCCGGTTCTCTACACTCACCATAAGAAACACAGCAGTACTAAGCTGCCAATTGACGCTGGTATTCTGTGAGAGCGTGGTCCTTCCCCGGTCGAGCCAACATATCGTGCTTCAATTATACAATTAATATAGATGCATGGCTCTACCACTTAAAAAAATTTCAATAGTGTGAATTATCGGGATGGATCAGAACGGGATTTGACTGCAAAAAGTTCTAAGAAGACTTTTAATGATATTTTTGAAAATTGGAAGTCTCGTGACTCTAGCTAAAAATAAGGTTACAATTAAATCAATGAAACATAATGAGTTTACCAAAACACTGAGTAGGATAAACAACCAATAATCATAACACAATAATCATAATCACAAGTTAATAGACGCAACCAACCCGTTGCGTAACTGTCATAAAATAAGAACGTAGTTATGATCAAACTATCAAATGGGGTTAATTTTATTATGCACGAAGATTAAAAGATGTTTACAAGAAACACATTAAGTAGCACTGCGGTCCATTATTCTGATGTACAATTTTATTAAAGAAAAGAGACCAATATATTAAAATTAAAAAGAAGTTAAAATAATTAATAAACTATTTTATATTATTTATAATGAATGACGGAAGAGTAAAAAAGTAAATTTCTATCACAAATGTGAGTGTAAGAGTCGGCAAGGGACGCTCTAGACCGGAGTTTATCGACCAAATTGGTATTGGTAAATGAAAGTCGCCTTTCCCTACAAATATTAATAAATAAAATTAAAACTAAACCTCAGCTACCAACTCAATAACGTTCATTCTACAAAGATCAAACCACAAGTAATAACTACAAAAGCTGAAAGTACTCCGGGTTAACTTTGACACCCGGATGTCAGTTACCTTACTCCCCGTGACTATGGGTGGTGGAAGACAGCCGAAACATCGGAAATTAAAATTAAGTATGATAAACGTGATAAAATCCGTAAAAAGTAGTTTTAATAAAGAACCAAGATTACTGCGCTGCCCCCATGCACATCGGCGGACTTCATAATATGTCTCTGAAACATTTTTTACTTCTGAGACAGGCTATTTCTTCAAGATCATGTACTTCTTTGACAAGTACGCAGTAAATCAGTACTATATTTGAACGTGGAAGAGCCACGCTACAGCTATGACTGTAGCCTGAATAGGTCTGCTCAACCACCATAGAATCACGCTCTCACAAAATACACGTAACACAGAGTAAGTGTAAAATAGCAGATTAGTGCTTCCTTGATTCTTATGGTGAGTGTAAAGAACTGGATATCCTTTTTCCTGGAAACGAGATAATCCATCTTAGTCCTCAGGGGTGAAAACGCATCTGCATTTTAAAAAAATTAATAATAATAATTTATTGCAAGAATATGGTTGTACAATGTGAGTATAATGTTACTATACTTATGGTGTGCAAATATAATGGTCAAGTAACCTAACAAATACTCGTTACCTTTTTTTCTTTTTTTGAATATTGATTAATTATATATGTAATTTTTTATGACACGTCAACTGTGTACCCAATTTTATTTTTCTGACAAGGATT